GGGCTACAGGAGCCCCTCTCTGTCCCCGCACTCCTGCTCCAAAGCCGTGCCCGGCTGTCACCGCTGCCTCTGATAACGTCCTCTGAGTTCCTGAGGGAAAAGGAAGTTGCACCTGCGGGGCTGGCTGCGTTTGGCACTGCCACACGTGAGCCTGAAAGAGTAAAGGAAGGAGGAAAATCGGGAGTCAGATTTCTTTGAAACGGATGTTGTAAAGTCATCTTGTGTAGCCCAGAGGTGCTATAGAAAGTGAAAAAGTGGAGAAGCGTGAGTTAAGACTCCTGTTTCAACCTTGGGTCAATCACTTCAAGCTCTAGCTTTCCCACTGGTTGCTCTGCAGCCCTTTCTGATTTGGCAAATGCTGAGAAAATTCGGTATTGAAGGTAATCTGTGACAGGAGCCATGACTAAATCTGCAGGATGCATGCCTATCAAAAAAGGCTTTATACTTTCGAGCCCCCGTGCAGACTTGTAAGGAATGAGCTGCTTAGACTAACTCTTATGGAATTTGTTGCTGGGGTAGCCTTAGAAGGCTGTGAGGAAAACAGATTGTTAGCTTACCTGCGGAGTTTGAGGTGGTATGCCTTTAGCAGCAGGCACTCTTTTGGCAAGTAGTGTTGAGGCGTGTTAGTCTTAAGAACAGACGAGAGTGCTGCTCTTAATAAAACCTGACCTTAACTACTGTTGGCTGGGTTCACTCACGTCTCGTCCAGTTGAATAATCACAGCTGAGCGCTTTGAGGTTGACCCTTTCTTTCTTTAGTCTTGCTTACAAACATAAATTCATCTTATCTAGGCTAGACTGGTCCCGCTTCTTCCTCAGCTCAAGATCTCTTGCAGCCTGCTTGACTTCTGTGCTCCTTTAAAAGTTTTACTCTTGCCCTTCCTTTCAGGTAGCTCTGGCCTGACCTTTCTGGATAGAGGAATTTTTGTTCAAGTCTCCCTGATGGGTGTGCTGTAGGAAGTTCCCTACTTTCTGAAGCTCTTCTTCAATTTTTATCTGTGTAACTGGATCCTTCTTAACACTTGGACTTCTGATTAAAGCTAGAAACGGATATAAAATGTTTTGCTTCTTGAACAGTTATAACACTTGAGTGCTTAGGCTTCACAGTGCAGGGTGTACCATCACCTGGGAGGGTAACCAAGTGCTGAGTTTGTTTTCTTAGTGGGGGTGGGGTGAAGCTGTGGTTTTAAGCTTCCTTTAACTTCACAAAGACTTGTACAGCTCAGTGATTCCCTTTCTCCTCCTTTTTTCTCCCATGTATAACACCATTGACAGAGTAAGATATTTCAGTGCTTTCTTTTCAGGATTTCTGGAAGACCAGAAGCAACTCAAATCTGTGAACTGGTAATATACTTTTGCTTCTTCCTCACTTCCATCTTTTCACTTCACTGAACTGACAATAGAATAGACATTTAGCATTTCATCTTACAAGTTATTCAGACTGGTTTAGCTGTTACATGTCGGAAACCTGCCTTTCGGAGAAAAAATTAATTTTTTTGTGTGGTTCTTAGTTGCTCTGTGCAGGTTCTAAGTCAAAACTGTGATACCATAAGAGGGCAGAAGAAGCAGGAAGTAACACAGCTGATCTTGGTTTTCTTGCATGTTACTTAGTCATAGTGAAAAGTAAATTGTGCTTTTAAGTTGTTTTTAAACTTAATTAATATATAATTAATAAACTGTGGTTACACAGACCCCCTTAGTGTTGCACGACTTGAGGGAAGAATTGTTTTGTTCTCTGTTGAGCAACAGGTTTTCCGTTGAACAAATAAATGTGTTAATGCTTGCTGCTTCAGAGTGCCAGTGCTTTACCTTTATTTTAGGTCAGGATTTATTACCCTCATTTATCATCAGATTAATTAACAAGTTGGAAGTTGTTAATTGATCTTGATTGAACTTTGAACAACTTCAAAGTTGGTGTGGAGCGACTTCCACTTGGTGTGGAAAAATTAATTATTCCAGTTCATTTGTTTCTTTTAGCATTTTTTTGTGTTTATATTGTATACACCGAATTTTTTCACTTTGGGATAAAAGGAACTAAGAAAGGAAGAAGTAAATAGTGCTTTGCTTATACTCCTGGCTTCACTATAATTTTGGCTATGAACTGATCCACTGTTGTGCTGGTTTGTACAAGCGTGGGACAGAATTGGCTACTGGAGTCTGGCTGATTTAGAGCTTAGATCTTTACAGCTGAGCCAAACCTCACTAACTCCCTGGTGAATGTCAGCGGACTGAAGGCTCTTTTGCTGACCTTGAAAGACAGAAGCGTTTTCAGTATGCTCTGTCTCCTGTTGCTAGTTCAGTAGGTGTGTTCCTCTGTGTGTGTGTTCTTCTACAATCCTTGCTGTGTGTGTGGTTTTCTTAGGAAAATCCAGCAACACTTTAGTAAACACTGTAGAGATCAGGTGTACTGACTCAGTTGAGACTGAAAGAACCACATTTTGTGCTGATCTGTGTTAAATCAGTGCAGAACTACCTACTCTTTAGTCAGTATTTGAAAAACTATTAACTGAATTTCTTAAAAATAAGGGGGGAGGGGCAGATTCTGCATTCAGAAACAATTTTTGTTCATAGAGAAGTTTCCCGACAATACTTCATTGATATGAAAAACTAATCTTTATAAGGAACAAAAATTGTGACACCCATAAGCTTTGTTTTTGCTAATAACTTGATTATTTATCTTAATACTATGGTATTAGGAACATGTAGAATACTTACTGAATAGGATCTTAAGAACTACATTGGAGATTTACCTATGTAATTTTTTTTGAAATGTGTATGTGCCTGAGTCTACTAAGATGCTTTCAAAATCTGAATGGAGGTGTCCAGCATAACCAGCTGCATAAAATGGAGTATTTTTGAAAATCTCCATTGCCTCTACATAAGGACAGGATGGGAGAAGGTAAAACTTAACCTGGGAGCTAGAGGCGAGCGTGTTGGCTTGCTGTCTGCCAGCTAATAGATTGTTACTGTTGTTGCTGTTATACTTCTGCTTTCATTTTCAGTCTGAGAATTCTGATAAATCAAGTGCAGAAAGTGATTCGGAGACTGAACCTGAACAGGCCTCGGTGTATCACAAACTACTGGCTACGCTGAAGACTTCTCCTGAGTCTGAGAGTGAGGAAGAAGAGGATGAAAGTGAATCAGAAGAAGCTGGGGAAAGTGAGACAGAAATGGACAGTGAAGGGTCCCAGGAGACTGGGGAAGCAGAAGGTGGTGAAGAAGATGAAAATGATATACCAGACAAGGAAGAAGGTGGTTTATCTTTTCCCATGCTTTGGTAAAAATTGTTTCAGATAGAGAGTTTGAATAGTAGCAGTTTTAGCAAGGATCCTGGTTTAGACTGGCTTGTTGGCTGGGTGTTCTGCCCTGGAGAGACTGTTGCTCCAGCGCCTCTGTGCCTCTTGCAGCAGCTGCTAGAGGATTTAGCAGGGGAGAGGGCAGCTCTACTCGTTTTCCAGCAGACAGCCTGCTGCTTCTCCCTCAGATGTTGTTTGTGCAGCAGCACAGGGGGAATCCACAAGGAGCAGGATACGAGGGGTTCTCGCTCACTCACTGGGAAACGCAAGCTGTTCTCTCACACAGCATCTGGTTTGACTACTGCCACAGAGAGGAGGGAAAGGTTTGCCTTGTAGCAGGGGAAAGACTATTTAAATTAAAAGGAAAACCCCTTCTTTACGAGGGGGCAGCCTCATCTGTCTGTGAAAAAATGGTAGCAGAAAGGAGTCAACTTTTTATAGTGTTTAGTTACTTAGGGTCTTTGGCAGCTATGTAACATATACATGGCAGGTGAGTCAAAAGTCTTTGTTACTGCAAAATGCAATGCCCATTTTTTTTGTTTTTGGATAGATTATTTGGAGAAGAAACATCTAGTAACTGAAAACGAACAACCTAGCCAACAAGAGGTAGCTATAGATAGTAACTCTTCCAGGAGTTACTCCTGTTCCAGGAGAATATAACCCATTTCTCTTTCCAGCTAAAGATACAGCAGAGCAGATGCTTGGCGAGGAGCAGGCTGATGGTGCAGATACCTCTTGTGACCTCAGTCATGGAGTAATTGAGGAGTTTACTGATGCGAAACACGAATCTGAATTTAGCTTGGAAACCAATTTCATGGAAGAGGAGAGTGGAGATTACAACGCAGATGAGAGAAGGAGCAGTACTTCACAAGCCTTTTCAGAAGGTAAAACACAGTGTATTTCTGTGTAGTGATCTTCCTCTAGAGGAGCATCTGTAAACATGTATAAATCGTCAACCCTCCTCATGATATGCTGTATAGCTTCTGATACATTATTCATTGTATTGCCTGCATGTGAGCCAGTTAAATAAGGGACACTTAAAGTTAATGCAGTGGGTATTGCATTAGCCCCTTACAGACCGAAGCTGAACCACTTGTTTTCCATAGCCCCCATTGGCAGGGATCGGTGCATGGTTCATGTTATGCCTTTTAAAGCTGAAATCTCAGGAACTGGAAACGTGGGGCAAGAGGGTTATTACTGTTCTATGTTTTAGTACTGGCTAAAACTGGTGTTATAAAGGGTCCTGCAAGCCTGTGCTTGGCTGTGGAAGATATTCTTGGCGCAGACAGTGCAGTAGATGGTCACAAGGCTGACCTGTGAGGGAGGGCATCCTTCACAACTGGATGGAGTTAGAGGAGAGATTCTGGGAAGCTTGGGCGGCCACAGTAATTAAGATGAATGTTTGAGTCCCCTTCTGAATTAGGAGGGTTGTGCAGAGGAATCTTACCACACCAGGAGCAGAAAGTCATGAAGTACTGCTAAAGCATCTGTGCGGTATCCCTTAAGGATGTAGCTCAGAATCTCACTGAGCACTGCTGTGTGCTCATGGGGGCAGTCTGAGCCCCAGTGTTGGAGTTGTCCCCTCATGTGTTGTACAAATAGCTGTGCGCTCTGGGGTGTGATCTTTCAGTGATGCACCCCACACTGGCACTTACAGAGCTTCTATTCATATTTTATGCTCTGGGGTTTTAATATCAGATGGCATAGTTTGAGAGAGAGGAATGTTTGTAGCATCCCTAGTGATGCTGGCTTGTCATCCTGGAGCAGCAGCTGACATTAGATCTGGGAAGCAGCCTAGCTGATACATGCAATGTGTGGAAGCATCAAAGGGCCATGTGATAGAAAAAACAGCTCATTCTTGTTACCATGAGAATATTACTTATGCTATTGGTATTGCATTTTAATGAGAACCACAGCTCTCCAAATGCATGCTAAACGTTATAACAGCTTTGTTCAGCCTATAAAGGATGCACTACTTTTCAGGGGGTTCGTGTAGCTTGCAAGTGGCTTTGTAATCTGTTACAGAAAGTGAGTCACCTAAAATAGCAGAGAGGTGATAAATTTCTACCGTCATCCTGGGGTCGCTAGAATTCCTAAAAATGCTTCACGTTATTCCTTTTACTTTATCTGACCGATGCTGGCCTCAGTAAAACTTACTGAGGAGAGACCCTTTTTTATAATTAAATGGTATCTCATTTATTTGCATTCCTAGAAAGATATTCTCAGCAGTATAATGATTAGCAAATGTCTTGACTTCTGCCTGGACAGCTTGCATGTGGGCTAGGCACCAGGCATTAGTGTTCTCTTGTTGCTTTTCTTTGTGCAGCGTGTAGCTCTTTGTAGCAATCGATACACAGGGCATGGCTTTCTAAATAAGCTTTGCACGTGACTTGTGCATACCAGTGTCTTTGAATATAACGTGATTTTACAGTTCCATGCCTATGTCAGTCTTCTCTTTCTTTTCCAAAAAAGAAAGGCTGATTTATTTAATCAGACTTTTATTCAGTTCTAGCAATTTCTGCCTACCTTCCCCTAGCTCCCCTAATCTTTGTCTGCTTTATTACAAACTGTATTCACATCCCTGGCCAAAGCTTCTAAGCCTTAGGCAGAACTTCTTAAAAATTAAAAACAACGCTAAGCTCACAAAGGTCTCTACTATTGACAGTCTATTTCACTAGCAAAGGATGGAGCTACTAACTGATGTTCATCAGTGTCTGAGCTTAAGACAGAAAATTACCACAGTGTTTCCGCTACAAACTGTTAAAACAATCTTTCTTACTTCATTCTGCTTTCCTGTCCAACACTTATTTTGTGATTGAAAGTTCTAGTACTTCCAGAAGTGCCTCTTTTGAGAGAAAAAAAAAAAAAAGGGGGAGGGGGCAAATCTGTCAAATCTATATCTCTACTTTTGTAGAGAGAATTTGACATCCTGACTCTGTCTCCAAGTGCTTTGAAATAACTAGTTTTAACAATGGTGTTGGCTAGGAGAGAAGTTGTTTGTCTTTTACAAATGCATTCTGAAGCTCAATTCTAGTATTAGCTGCAATAGTTCTGGATTTTTTGTTTGTTTGTTTTAAATAGATCCATTTAAACAACACATGGACAAAGAAATGGAAGAAAAAGAAGTAGAAAAAATGTCAACGCTTTCTAAATCTTCAAGTCAAACAAAGGTAATAGTGTTCTGTAGCTATCTAGAGTTCCTAAAGATGCTGGGGTTAAAATAGCTCTTCTTATGTAAGTAAAGTAGATTCCTAATTGTTACTAGCTATTGGCATTGGAATTGTCAAGGTTTTGTCAGACTATGTTGCTGCTGAAGTGTTTTCCTCTTTGCTTAGCACTAAGCTGGAGGCATAAAGTGACACATCCGAGACACTTATTTGTAATCCTGAAACCATGGGTATTGGTCTTGACATGAGGTGGAAACAAGCCACTTTAAGCGGTAACAGCATAATACCAGGGACGTGCTGAACCTGTGAGGTGAACGTGTATAGTGTTAAAAATGCTTGCAATACAGCTTAATCTTTTTGTTTCAGGATGGCTATATCTTTGTATACATTTACAAGCAGGTGAAGGCGAATTCCACTATTAAATTGTTAATATTGGAATTAATGCGTGAATTACAGTACCAGGGAAGCGTTTCATCGCTTGAGAAAGAATATTGTTTTTCAAACACTAATTTTTAGACCAATTTTTGCTTCCCAACTTTTTCATGTCTGATTTTGTTTTGGAGGTTTGCCTTGCGTTCGTTCTGGTCAGCCGTACACGCTGGGTGACATTCATTGGCAGGTATCCAATAGTTAGTCAGTCAAAAAGCAAGCTGCAATTTCTATTTATTTATTTATTTCCCCTCTCCTGGAACAGGGTAGCCAAAGACACCAGTGTCACCTGACGCGATATACTATATATCTTTGGTTAGCTTGGTGTAACCACTTTACAGAAATAGACTGGGACAAGTTATAAGGCAAGAGGCTTAAAGCATTTAGCGTTCTCCCCTGCTACAGTTTTCACCCTGAAAGTTAAACATACTCTAGCTAGACTGGCATTTGGCAACTGATTCTTAACTTCTGGGTTTAGTCCCTAAAGAATTTTTTTCTTTAAATAAAGTACCTTCCTCAGGGTGGTTGATCTATAAGCAGAGCCGTGCTCCTGGTTCTTGTCTTGTCCCTGTTTTGTGCCACTGATTTGCCAGCTAGCGTTGGGCAGAAATGACATCCTTCCTCTTCCTTTATTTTCTCATCTGTAAAATGAGCACTGTGATTGCCACCTCACTCAATTTTATTGTCATTTTCCTTGGTAGATATTAAAGAAAAGAAATTGCATAGTGAAAGAATGATTTCAACTTGCATTATGAAAAGATAATGTCTCAAACTTCATGAGCTTTAATAAATTGCCAGCAGTAGCAGTGTGCTCCTAACTGTACTAAGTTTGGTAGGTTTGACTCTTCTTTTCTTTCAGTGGCCAAGGCTGGGCCAGGTAACTTTTTCTTCCGTTTTGGAGAAACATAAAACCTTAAAACCAGATAAAGAACTTGACGTGAAACAGCTTCATCTTCACAAGCCTTTAGAAGTCACTTGGCCGAAAGTGAACAAACAATTCCTCTCCTCACTGAACAAACCAAGTGATCTCTGTTTTACTCCACTACAAAGAGAACTCTTCTGTATCATGAATACATACAGGGACTTGTTCTATCCAGAAAGAACTGCTTTAACAAACGGAGAAGAAATCCGGCTTGCTTATTGCCTGCATGCACTGAACCATGTCCTGAAGGCAAATGCCCAGGTGCTTACCAATAATGCTAAACGGAGGGACCAAAAGCCAAGGATTGACAATGATGACTACAGAGATCAAGGGCTCACTAGACCTAAGGTAAGAGAACTTAGTCTATGTGATTTCCCCCTGTCCGCGTGTTTGGTGAGGCCAGGTAAACATCCCGGTGATTTAATGTGAAATATTTCCATTGCTGCTGTGTCATGTGGCATGTTCCCAGGCATGCGCCTTTACATATCCCTTGGTCGTGCCTGGAAGTTGTCTGCGATAGGCCGGGGCAAATACTCTGTTAGAAGTAGTAAAGTAGTGAGCGTAAGTTTACCAGTCAGCCTGTTTCTGTGTTAAGCCAAGCTGACAGCTCACCTTTTTCCTTATCCTTGTATTGTTAGAGACTGACATGTTACCTTTTCCTGCTTCCATTTCTAAACCTACCAGTGTTGAAAGTGCCTCCACATTCATCTTCAGTGTTAGTGCAGGTAGTGGAGGCTATCACCCAATGCAGGATGCTCCAGAAGTTTGTGGGTTTTTTTTGTCATTATGCGCTTGTAAGGACTGGTTTGCACGGCCACTTTCCTTCTACCAAAGCTTGGCTAGTTCCTCCAACTTTCCCTTTATCCCAACAAGTCATGCTTTGCTCCAGGCACTCCTTTCTAGTGCAGCATCACTTGCTGGGAGACTGTCCTTCGCATTATTGCGTGATGACAGCTGTGCCAGAAAAGATCTCTCTATGCCTGGGGTGCCTTTGGGGATCCAGTCCCATTGACAAGGCCACTTATCACAGTTAATGGCAGGGGCCTCACACCAAGCCGAAAGCACCATTTTGATGGAGTATGTCATTAATCCACAGTATCCTCTCATTGATAGCCAGGCAGATTCAATCTGGGCTAGCCTGACACAGGTAGTGCCAAGTTACTTGTCGAACAGTTTAAAAGTTTGGTTTCGCTATTTCCTGCGCCTCTGGCAAATGCTCGTGTTTTGTTTCTGTGTTAACTCCCTAGTTAGTCTCTACAAAGCACTTTGTAATTTGAATAGCTATTGCTACACCTTCAGGAGCCAAACTTTGCCCTTGCCCGTGTATTGTGGAAGCTAATAGAGCTGGGTGACTGACAGTGCTCGCTCTTGTTTATGGGGGGAGCACAGCAGGAGATGCTTAGTTGTAAATTCTGGGTAATGGCTCCCTATGTGTGAGCCCGAGAACCGGGCTGAGCTGCTTGCAAGTAGGTGTTCCTGCACGTTTGGCATCTCAGTGCGTTCTCCCTCCTTGCTGAACGTCCTGATTTCGTTTGTTCTGCTTCCCCTTGGACTCTGCTGTCTGCCTTTCCTCCGAGAAGCTTATTGGAGGCACACCGTGAGGGAGTCGGAAGCTAGGGGCCTGTTCCAAAATAAAATGCATGCCTTGGCTGTATGGCACAGATCCGTCTGTCGGATCAGGTTTTTGTCACGTAGGCATAGCCAGCTGGTGATTTTTTTTGGAGGGAAGGAAACTGTTATTTCCTTTTGATTGTCAGGAGGCCCAGCAGGGGCAGGTCTGAGTCAAAATAATTACTTAATGTAGTCAAATGTGGATGTTTGTATTTTATGGGCTGTTCTGCTGTGTTGGTCTGCACAGGTACTGATGCTGGTGCCCTTCCGGGAATGTGCTTTGCGTATTGTGCACATTTTCATCAGTCTTCTTGAAGTGAACAGTGAAAGAAAAATAGATGTAAGTAATAAAAAGCGCTTCAAAGGGGAGTTTGGTTCTGACCCAGAAGAGAGGCCTCCCAACCTGAAGAGACCTGAAGATTATGAAGCTGTCTTTGCTGGCAACATTGATGACCATTTCAGAATTGGTAATGACTACTAAACAAATCGTCTTTCACTTGTAAAGAAGCCAGAGGTAGTCTAAACTAGTTTTTCCTGAATGGCTGAAAGCCATCAGGGCTGGAAGTTCCAGTCAGACTCTACGTTCTGAAGTATTTATGCCTTTTTTGGATTGGCAGCTTGGATATTTCTGAAAATATTCCCTGCCTTGCCAAAACTTAAGAGGAAATGGGGAAGTAATGATTTTTCACATCAAGAGTCACTTAAAAATCCAGTGATTGCTTTATGGTGGCAGGACTGCCCACATCTCATTTTAAACAGGATAGTCTTGATTATGCAAAAAAACTTTTACGTTATTTAAAAAAAAAACTTTCAGGTCAAATGAGTTTGTTCACAATGTATCACGTAATCAGTAAAAACTGGAACAAAATCTGAAGTTTGGTACCGAGCAAAGCAATTTTCTACTGTATTGCCCATGGTTTTCATAGATGCAGAGGGATAACCAACAACTAGGACTGCTGAATGAGTAGCAAATTTAAGACTTTTTCATACTATTATAATTTCATGCTGGTTTGGTAACTCAGTATGCAGAGAATTAGCTAGTGCCTTTGTCGCTGGAGCTGCCAAGATGAGTAGGCAGTTTTTCCAACTTCTCTTGACGGATAAGAGGCTCTTGAAATTATTGCCCCTTGAAAGATAAATTGGCATTGCAAGAGATTTAATGATATAGTGGAGAATGCAAGCAGTTTCTACTCGGTCTTTCTTCCTTTCCCAGTGAATATCTGTCTTGCTGAGACCATCTTACTTCCTGTAGCAGAATAACTTTCCTTTCAATCCCTTCCCATACTACAATCTGCTTGATCCATTTGCTAGGTGTGAAGAAGTGCTTGAAGAAACTTTTAGTGCTGTTGCTTGCAAAAGCAAGTCATAGAAGCAGTAGAATTATTCTTTCTTATTGTGCCTCACACCTGTTACTTCAGCAGAAAAAATCTAATTTAAAGTGCATTTATTATGCATTACTAAAGTCACCCTTTCACATTCTTAAACCAAAAAAAAAAAAAAGAACTTGATGTTAAATTTAAATTCTGTATATGCTGACATGTTCTGCAACCAGTGGTATCTTCTTCTTGGAGATTGAGCCAGTTGTGACAATTTCTTAAAATTTTTATCATTGGATTAAATAAAATAGCAGGAGACGTCGCTATTGATGTCTGCGTGAAATTCTTGAAAGTACCTTCAATTGTGCCCATGCTAGCTTTGCTCCGCACAGACAGTGGAGGGAAGGTAAACACACCTATGCTGGGCAGATTGCAGTGGATGGTTCGCATATGATCCCAACCATCTGGATTTTAAAATTAGAAAACTCTGCGTTCCAGCAATGCTGCCGTGCAATCGTGGCAGAGGTAATGAACTTGTTTGCTTCCTTTCTTTTTCTTTTTTTCTTTAGCATAAGATATGACACGCAAGCCAGTTTGACCTACGTACTGTATCATTCTGCATGAGAAGCAATACGTTTCCTGGCATCACGTTTCCTGAGAGAGTGCAAGATCTTATGCTTTCAGTCTTTGTAATGTCAAGAACCTTTTCCTTTGCATTTTAGTAATGACTCTTGTGGCCCTGTGAACGAAAGCATTCTATTTTCAAGAGATCTTCACTGAATCTTTCATGACAGATTAAGATGACAGTTATTACAGGACATAATGGCAAAGATCGAAGCCCAGAAATCAGGGTGGAACAGTTAATCATTTCTGGGAGTTTTCTTGTTTGTTTTTGTTTGTTTTTACATCTTCATTCCTCTTCTCCCCACCCCCGCACCCACCCCCCAGCCGAAAGTCAAGAAAAACCTGTTTCAGTTCAAAAACATCGTTTGGGCTATGAACAATTTAGAAAAAAGTGCTACTGAAAGAGTTTGAACTTTGTGAAAATCTGCCAAATGCTTGTCAAATGCAATAATGTGGGGATGGGGTTTAGGGGGAACAGGGGGAAGGGAGAGCACATTTTCAGCGCAAAATAAGGGTTTTGGCTAGATTGGTTTTGTTCAGCTTTTAGTATGTGTGAAGGGAGAGGAAATGTAGGAGTTATTCTTACAGAAGCCTCTGGAAGAAAATAAGTTGGTGACTGACCTTGACTAAAACAATGTTGTTGGCTTTTATTGGACAGGGGTTGCAATTCTTCAAAAGAGTATGAGGTTGTATGCACCATTTTACTCATCAGATATCATCATTGCCTCTCCCCTTGGTATGAGAACTATTATTGGCGCAGAGGGGGAGAAGAAGAGAGATTTTGATTTTCTGTCATCAATAGAAATTCTTATAATTGATCAAGCAGATATCTACCTGATGCAGAATTGGGAGCATGTTCTGGTGGGTTTTTGCATGTGTATTATTTTTATGTTGTACTGTATCTTGTTATTCTGATGTAAGTTTTTTCTAGCAGTGAACAGTACTGGTATTTTCTTGCTAGCTATCTTCCAGATACATATGTTTCCCTTCCCTCCCTTCAGCCTGATGTTTTCTCATACTAAGAATAATCTACCTGCAGATTTTGGTAGTATTCAAGCACCTATTCTCTGTAAATCTTAGTATTTGGTGCTTTAGGGGCATATTTCATCAGATTTTTTTTTTTTATACAGTTTTAGTTATCTTGCAGGATGAGATAATGATGATTCCTTTAATCACGTCTGGGAGAAAATATGCCAGTTGCCTGCCAGTCTCAGTCAGACTGCGGCCGTGTGAGAAATTTGTACAGCCTAATACAGGCTCCCCCAGAAGGCAATGGGAGCTGCTGCTTGCCTCCATTGACTATAGAGGGATATAAGCATTAGTCATGTCCTAACTTAAACAGTATGAAAGCTTTTCTGTATGCGTAATGACAATATAGTTCTAGGATTTGGATAGTATGGGGTAAAATCTTGACTTCTTTGAAAATGTTTATTAACCAGATTAAAGGTTTCTTTTCACATTAAAACACCCCTGAGCGTACCTGAGCAAGGCAAGTTAACAGCATGATGATATTGTAGGTCTTGAATGAGTCCAGAAGGTGTCTTGTTTCCTGGGGAGTCCTAGGAAGGGTATGTGAGCCTGCTTGATATCCAAAGAACAGGTCCTGGAGCTTGTTTCCTGTTTTTCTTCTGGGTGCAAGTGCCTGCCACACAGCAGCCTAGACATCACTGAGGCCCAAAAGCAGTGAATTTCTTCACTTGTACCCAAACTCTCCCTGAGTGGAGTGAGAAGTGGACTTAAGCTTTCTCAGGGGAATAGGCCCAAGGTTCCTGAGGCAGTCTTGAATATAAACAAACAAAAAGCCCCAGTGTACTTGCCCTATGGGAGAAAATTGGAAGCTAAGATAGTATTGTAATGGCTGACCAAAGAGATGTGATTTTATTCCACAGAACTTAAAACTACCATAAACTACTCTTGCTGTGGTCAGTTAATTCCAGTCATGTCTTGGGAGGTCACTACTGTGTTATGTTTTGTGCTGTCTTGCTCATCCCTGCCCACTTTTATGCTGCAATCAAGGCTTTTGCAGTGTGGGTACAATGGTATCAGTCTGTACTGGTGTATTTTCATTTGTGTAGCACCTGATGAAGCACATTAACCTCCTGCCTTTGGATTCCCATGGAGTAGACTTCTCCCGAGTGCGTATGCTGAATCTCAATAACTGGTCTAAGTACTACCGTCAGACACTGCTCTTCAGTGCTCTTCACAATCCCCAGATAAACTCCATCTTCAGCAAGCACTGCTTCAATTACACGGGGCAGGTGAGTTCACATACAGGCCATCGCTTGAATGCTGGTGTAATGGAGGGGGAGAGGAGTAGAAAATCCAACACGTGGAAGCGTTCCATCTTCAGTTGTACAAAAGCTTTCACTTTCTGGGTGCCAGCAGGTTCCATTATCCAAGTATTTCAGTTTGAATCTCTGTGATGATGCACAACAGTCTCTGATGCTGTGACAAAAATTTAAAGAGCTACTCTTTTTGTAGCAGTACTTATTTGATCCGTTTGTTTCATGAGTAACAGCTTTGTGTCAGAAATCAGTTTCTGTTTGTTCATAATTTTACATGCTTACGTCAATTATCTTGTTTTATTTATTTTTGTTGTTAAGTGAAGAGTTTTCTTGCTTCCTTTATTTCCTAATGGAAAAAAAAGGAAACAAAAATACTTGTTGCTTCTGAGAGAAGTAGAGGAAGTGAAAACTTGAGTTTTCAATCTGAAGTGTATGAAAGGCAGGACATAAGCAGTGGTCATGTACATTTAACAGATTTGTTATGTGTATATGTGTGAATATAGCTTTGTTTTTTAAAAGTAGTCTTGTGTGTTGCCTGAAGATATAAGTCACTAGTTGAAAGCTGACTAGCGTGTGGATGCCTTTTAAATACTGCTTCCGTAAGTGTCCTATTTTCTTCTTGCAGGTAGCTGTCCGAAACATACCACAGGTTGGCTCCATTAGCCATGTTGTAGTACAGCTTCCTCATGTTTTCCGGAGGCTAGAAGCTGACAACTTAACTTCTGTAATAGATGCAAGGTACTCTGCGTTGCAAACTCTTCTTCTGTGCCTCAATGACTGCAAATTCAGATGTGCTTAGCTAGTTGAGCGTACTGCTTCCTGCAGAGTACAAGACCAGCATGATCTCAGAACAGAAGCGTGCTCTCATTAGTCTTCAGGTGTGGGTTGGGCGCTGGTGGAAGTGTGTGCTGTTGGAGGAGAATGCGAACTTCTTGCGAAAGGCCCTGGAGAATAAAGACTGGGGAAAGAAATACCAGTCTGTCATATCTTTGTAGTAGCGATATAGCCTTTGCTTTTCATCTAGTACAAGCATAGAAATCCTAAGAAGTTAAAGTACCAAAGTATACTCAAGAAAATGCTCAGTGGTCTCTCATGTCTGACATTTCTGTTTGGTGAGATCATATCAGTACTGGAAAGCTGAGTGTTAAATTCTGGATTAAACATATGTGTATTCTTGTCCCAGATTTCAGTTCTTCATTGACAAAGTTTTGCCCGAGTACCGTGATGCCATCATGTCACACACACTCATATATGTTCCATCATATTTTGACTACGTACGTCTTCGAAATTACTTCAAGAAAGAGGAGTTGAATTTTGTTCACATCTGCGAATACACTAAGAAGGCTGGCATCTGCAGAGCAAGACGTTTCTTCCTTAAGGGAGACAGGCAATTCTTACTGCTCACTGAGCGCTTCCACTTCTACAAAAGGTGAACTGTGGGCTGAACTCTCTTCTGAGAGGCATGTGTGCTGTTTTGGAGGTAGAATCTGGTATTAGTCATAGATGGGCTATATTGCTTTCTGAACCAGTTGGATCTTTCTGGGGACTTTGACTGAAGTAAGAGTTTTTTAGATTACTTTCTTTATTTATTTTTAGACTGTCAGCAGTCCCTTGCAGAGCTTCTAATGCTTTGATATGCTCAGGGCTTTATTCAGGAATATAAGTACTGCCAAGTTCCACTGATGTCAGGAGAGTACAATCTATCCTGCAAAATGGAATTTCTTGTGCCTTTTATTAGTGTTCATCTGTGCCGCCATAATTACATAACATCTCAAAAAGGATATGGAATTAGTTTCATAATATGATATGGTAAGCCAATAAAACTTGGAAAATTTGCTACAGCCTGACTGGAGCTGTTTGAAAGTTCCTAATGGAACTTTTTTTTTCTATTAGCAGATTCTTTTGTCAGATATGAAACGTTTCAGAAGCCTCAACCTGATCAGGCTTCGCTGTGTTAAAGTCCAAGGCAAAGAGGCTGAATTCTGTAGAAACTGATAGTACTTTAGAGAAAGTCCCAGTGCCTGGCAGCACTAGAGCTCTTAATTCTGCATCTGTGGCAAATCTAGTCTTCTGTCCATGATGCAGAGTTTGTCAAGTTGAGCTAATGACTCTAATGTGCACTGATATTGATGGAAATTGGGAGAACTGAGATAGGATTGATTGTAACTTGCACGTTTTGTAGAAATTTGCAGGACAAAACGTGATTTGTTTGTCTTTTCTACTGCAGGTACACAATAAAAGGCATTAGAAACCTCATTTTCTACGAGTTACCAACCTATTCCCACTTCTACAGTGAGATCTGTAATATGATGAAGGCCACAGACAATGGAATGGATGCCACTTGGACCTGTACTGTCCTCTACTCTAAGTATGATGCTCAGAAATTGGCTGCTGTTGTTGGCATAGATCGCACAGCTCAGATGCTACAGTCCAAGAAAAACGTGCACCTCTTCATTACAGGAGAAAATGAATAAGCAATATTGCAAACTAGAGCGTTCCATGAACCTGAATTTGCTCCTAATGTACTTTTTGATGTTGCTTTTTAAATAATTGTTAGACGTTTTAGTCCTTTTACTAACTATCTTGTTGAAATAATTCTTTATAGTATTAATTTTATACTTCAGTTCTCTTTTCAGTCCAACAAGGAAAGGGAAAATGCCATTCAAGGAAGCAGGGGGTGGCAGATTTCTCTGTATGTAAATAAAATCAAGCCACTCTTCGTTATATGTTGAAAAACTCACTGTTTGGTCAAGATCTGTGGTGTTAAAATACCTTTTGATTTGGTTGTTGCACTTCATTTTCAGGTATAGCAAACTCGCCTCCTTTCATCAAAGGCAAACTTTTTCTTTTAATTTAGGGAAAAATGTGCCCACTTATTGAGGCAGTGGTTATTATGTAAGGGAGGTGTAGATAAAGCCTCAGCAACCCGCACATATTGTTGAATGAATGGTTTAATTTGCCTTTACTTGGCTGATGAATGTGCTGGGGTGTGGACTGTGGTTTTCTATTTTCCTCGAGTGGCCTAAATATCTCTGCCTGCTATTTACAACACTCATTTTGGTCCCACAGGCTGGTCAGTTTTAGTGAGGATAGATTTTTTTTTTTTTTCCCCCCCAAAAGGGTTGGAAAATGAATTAAATTTGATAGGCAGAAGAGCCCAGCCTTATCTAGCCTCAGGATTATCAAAGCAGTGCTGTGCAACGCAAAACTGATGCAGTAGCAAATACCTGTTATCTCCCCAGATACCTGCGTTATGTGTGTGTTTTTTTTTTTTCCTACTGCCCTTAATCATTGCTTGCAGAGAGCATGAAAGTGTCATTGTGCTGCCTCTCGTTTCTTTTTTTCTCCTCCTAAGAAGCTAAGTGTCATTTAAAAGGAGGTAGAAGTAGGGATTAATTTCTGTACGCGTGTGCTAGAACTGCTGGGGGACGGTTCTGCAGAGGGGGCTGATGAGACCTGTGAGAGCCCAAATGCAAGACAGAAATATCTGCGCTGGGATAAGCTTTGAGGAAATTCTCATCCTGGGGGGATGGGGCAAGGCTTGAGGAAAATATACCCAAGGGAAATAAACTCCTCAAGTAAATGTACAAGCATATAACTTTAGCCAATTTTTTAAATTCTATTCATGATTCCTGTATTTCTCAGAGGCTGTGAACTCATATGGTAATTGCACTCCTCAAATCATTTAGCAGATGTGCAAATTCATGTAGTTCCTTGCTTTCTGTTTTAATAGATGATGTCTGTTAGTTTTAAACATCTCTATTATGCGCATAAGAATTAAAAGCCAGTCACGGCAAAGTTGTCTTTTTCAATATCTGACATACTGCACAGGCAACAGGAGCAGCAAACAAGGCTTTTCTTGTATGGCAAAGGATTGATGTGGGAGAACTGTGGATGTGCATATAAAAGCAGACACACAAAATAGGATTAAGGATTTGTCTTCCCACATCAGCTGTACTTATCACAGATGAATAGCAGCTGACCTCTGAAAAAGCTAAAGTGGGATAGCTACTTAGGGAGATAAAAATGATGCAGTGCAGCTACTGTTTTAAAGAGGCAGCGAGAGTATTGTGCCAGAATCTTAACTGTGTAAGTTGCTGGCCCACTCGATAGTGGGACTGAGCTATGAACTGGATATGGGATTTGGTCATGTTTAAAATTTCTTTGCGGCCTTTACAATTTTTTTTTTTTTTTAAACCCTGCTGGAGTTCACAGACCCTGCAAAGATGCATGTTGGCAGTAAGGGCTGCAGTGTTGGTGTGGGAATGGGTGGCCGAGGACACGGGGATGAGGTGGGAGCTCTGTGGGCTGGTGTTGCTAACGCTGCTCTGCATCTTTAAATTCTACAGCCTACACCCGTGGCTCTCTGGCAGCTTGTATCATCTAGAAAGAACAGGGAATTCCACTGTGGAAAACCAGTTAGCTGTATTGCCTCACGTCAGGGCTGCTTGAGGGGAGAGATGCTGTCTGGTCTCCACTCAGTTACTCTGATTTCAACACCATTAAAGCAATGGTCCTATGAACTGAGTTGGCAGTAGTTTATTTAGCCGTAGATCCAAAGACAGTGAGATGCTCTTGGATGGCTAGAAGAAGCAGTGACGTGTTTCTTCAGGGCTTGTCTCTGGTGGCGCTCGGCACCCTCAGCCCTGGTTTACTGTGAAACCAATTGGTAGGTATCGAGAGCTTTCCACATCTGGTGGGATTTAGGTGCTACTGGACTATAAATATTGGTAATGACTTTGTCTAGTTGGGCCTTCAGAACCTACAAGGATGGATGTTGCCCCAGCCTGGGTTCGTATTATGCCCTGTGATGTGGGTGCTTTCTGGCCTGTTAAATGTAGATGCTAAAAGCAGGTAAGAGATTTGGATCCCTTATTCACAGCATAGAAGAGAAGCTTTAGCCACCTGCTTCATTAGTATATTCCCTTTATTGGGGATTCAGATGTGAAACAAACATTGCTTTCAGCATCTCCTGTCTCTCAGGAAGCCTTAATAATTGATGACCAAAAGAAAGACATGTTTAAATACCTGTCTCTATAGGAATATTGTCCTTTCAGTTAAAGAGTTATGTTATAATGGATTCTTTTTTCACTAGTAAAACCTAATCAGGACGATAGGTTTGTTATGCTTTGTTGATCCTTTCAAAGATGACAAAAAGCATATTGTCGTGTGCAAATGTTGCTGTAGGATAGGAACCAGCCTTCTCCTGACTGAATTAATATGGAGGAGGGAGCGAAAGGTGACTTGGGATGGTCTGTCCACAGAGCTGGGAAAGTGCCTGCTGTGAGGAGAATGATTAGCAGTCATTTGGAAACAGAGGACAAATCGTGTGAGATAAAACGGGAGCGTTCTTATTAACAGCAGTGGAATTAACAATTATTTTACAGTCTCTCTCACACACACTGCCAGAGTTTGTAAGCTCACATTAGTCATGCTCTTGTGGCCTCAAACCCAGGAGTTCATCTCTAGGTTTTTTCTTATTTGGACCTGGTAGCTAACCACGTCTGATGGAGTGGTTTGCTTTCAGCAGGGTTTTCAGAAAGCCTGTCCACGGAAGTCTATGCGATGGGTGTAAGAGGAGACTGAGCAAAGAAGAAGAGGTCTGAGAAGAAGCACAGGACCGCAGTTGCTGTCTTGGCAGAGCTGCTGGGTGGCTGAACTGCGTAGGCAAGCAGGGCAGCCCCTTGCCGTGTCGCCGGCCTCTTGTTGCTGGCCTGAAGACCTGCAGCAGGCCCGCAGAGGGGGCTTGCCCACAAAGAGAAGGATTCCTCCTTCGTGGTCTGTTCAAACTGCTCCCTGAAACATGCAGTAGGAGGAAGCAGACAGCCTTCCACTCTCCTGGAGAGCCCGGGCAGCGTTTTTTCCCATAGAGAAAGTGAGGTGCTGGTACACAGACAGGCCCCCAGTGCTGGCAGACTGCGCCATGCAACAGCCTAGGGACTAACAGGACTGGAAGGGCACAAAGCCGGAAGAAATCCCTGCCAGACACTATATACTGTGTCTCAGATATTTGTATTTTTGTGGCCCAGCTCGCATCCTGGTCAACAGGATACTTTTGCCCATGTTAGGTCCAAGACTATTCAGTCCCTGTGGCTTTAAATCTTTGCCCTCTGTGCTGAGCTTGACAGTAGAAGGTAGTTAGCACAGGGATGGTTACCCATCAGCTTCTCCTTTGTGGCTGTGCCCAGGGACTTGGGCTGAGGCCATCAACTCTTAAAAGGAAAAACAGCAAACAGATTTGAGCTGCTACTGTGAACCAGCTACCTGAAATGGAGAGGTTAAAATAGCCATAGCACTGAGTGGTAGTCAAGAAATAAGTATTTAATACATAAAAGAGATTCAGAAATCTTCAGTAAAGGACGTGACAAGAGATCAAGGTAAGACACAAGGAAACACCACCGCACAGAACAAAAATAATAAGATAGCATAATTACATCACTGTAACTGAAAGCAGAAATTTGGTGTTAGTCTTTCAGATAAAACAGCAAAACCACACTAAAGTCTTATGTGCTTCATGTGACATTATAGTTCCTGGGTCAAACCCTTGCTGCTGATACTGGCACAGATCTAGAGAGATGTTGCTGAAATTGCTAAAATTGAATATTATCAGCATGTTGTAAGGTCTGTTATTAGTGCCTCCTTTACACGCTTATAAAAAGGGAATTTGGTAGCAGGGGCCCTAACTGAAAAACTGTTGCCAGTACCTTATTATTACTAGGTATTAGGCAGTGATCTCCATGTTATTTCCTTGTCTTGGGTGTCAGGTTTCAGACTTCCTTGCTATTTAATTAATAGGTTAGTAAAGAATGAATATTTAGCTTTAACTGTGCATTTTTTTAATCAAAGCAGGAAAAACTGAATCAGTTTTGTATCAAGTCAGTTTTGTATCATGAGCACAGGCTTACAATGGATAAATAAGAACCGGTTCATACACTTTATTTGCATCCAGTTCACACAGTTTTACAAAGCCTTTGAGGAGTTCCTTATTCAAAGGCTTCTAAAGAAACTAAACATCGGGTAAGGCTGGAAGTATCATAGCAGAACATCACAGCAAAGGGTTAAGAGCAGGTTATTTCAGTGCTAACTCCTCTCCTGACCATCCCTATATCGTGAACTGTAATTTAAATTTCCCTCTGCAGTGTTATTCTAGTCCTGGGCACTCCCTTCTATTCGTTAGCTCAATCACACCATTGGCACTGTTTCAGCCTGGGGAGGAATTTGAAGGGAGGGGAGCACACCTGAATGAAGGCCTTGCCATTGTTTGGAGCTGTGGCCAGCAGGTAGATAGATGTATGTCGAGAAAGATCATTTGGTGCCTCAAGAAATGAGTGGTGAAAGGGCCAGGAGGAAGAAGAAAAGTGTCCTACACTGGTCTTCTAGAAGACCTCCTCCCTGTGACCTCCTCTGGAGCAGCCAATGTTGATAGAAAATTTGAGTAGGTGGGGATTAATCCGGATTTTCTGGCAATTCCATTTGTGTTTCTCAGACATCAGTGAACACAGCGCAATTACTTAAAGGCTAAAATCATCTCCTCCTAAACATGGCCTCACTCCTTCCCTATAATAACTAGCATGTCTAGTTTTGTGAAAAAGTAGCAAGATGTTTAAAGGCTATCATTAAATTAACTCAAATACAATGCAGGTATGTAGCTTAATTTATTGCTGCTCTGCTGTTTGTTGCGCTCTGCTAGAGTAGGGGAACATTCAGTGCTAATGAACATAATCTCCTTCTGCTGCTCCATTTCTTTCAAGTTGCCTTGTAGTTTAGTTCTGGCTTCTTGTCTCCAGTGTTGGTATTGTGAGCAGAGCAGAGGCTGATAAAATGCAGCTAAAAAAGGAAGAAGCCTTGAAGGAATAAATTAATGTCTGAATTAATTCCTCTTACAAGCTGAAAGCTTTCCAATAACTTCAGAGGCTGTTTGCTGGAGCGCAGAGGAAGGAAAGATTATTCAGAGATGTTCGTTGCGGTGCAGCAGCAGTCGGAGCGCTTGCAAGCTGGGGAAGGAGCTTGCTGCTGTGTGTGCGTTTGGTGGGATTTGCCCGAGGGAAATGGCATGAGCTAGGCCACTGTGTCAGTCGCCGTGGTCAGGAAGAACTGAAACAGATGTCAGAGCGCAGCAAGAGCTTGTTTCCAAAGAGGTATGTCCGAATGATGGAGCTCGAAATCTGAGTGCCTAAATGTACCACACAAGTTACTTCCAAGTGGGAAAATATACTAGGGAAAGTTTCTATTATAGTTACTGTAAGAGGGCTCAGAGTAACGATAGTACTGCAAGCACCAGGGAATGGGATGTTTCTAACAGCACAGAAATGGTCATTAGTGTAGGCATAAAGTGAGCAAGACAGTTTGACCTAAGCTGCAAGGTACAGATTGCCCATGTCCGTTTTCCCAATGTGGAAAAACTTGACCCCAGGAATTTTGCTATACCTTCTTTTAGAGATACAGGATAGGTAGAGAATGGAGTGAAGTTAGATCCTTCCCCCCCCCCACCCCTCCCCAAAAAACTTTACATGAGGCAAAGTGTGCAATTCCCTTTTTTCAATCAGATGCAGCTGGGCATGTTTTCCTTCTGTTGAAACATGCTGAAGAGAAGCAAACAGGGAAGGTTCTCTCTCCTCAGGAAAGGTGTGGGATCAGAGCTTGGCACTGGAGGAGCTGTTGAAGGAGAGCTCAGAGCCTCCACCAAGCTGGGTTGGAGCTGAAAACCCACCTGTCAGCTGTTACCCAGTCACAACCATCACTGCCACCACCAGTCTGTGATTTGGGGAGGGATACAGCACAGCTGGTGGGTCTGTTTTTGCA